GAATTAGCAGGGCTTTTTTGGGGGTGGGGGAGAAATACAAAGTCTGCCTTCCTAAACACTTTGTTCTGCATTTTTCCACTCTGCAGTCCACTCTGGACTTGGGACAGAGCTGATGGTCCTGCCTTCCCCAGTCAGCTACAGCTTCTCATCTCCAACGGTCATGGATGATCTCCTTATCTCTCTGTTCAACAGATGATGCTTCCCCTTACTCCCCGGGTTTTATTTCCTCTCCGAGTCCTTCAAGCAGCACGGCAGCTGCTTAGTGTGTGCGCCCAGACCAGCCCTAATCCTGAGCGCAGGTTTATTCCAGGACTGTTCCCTCTCATGCAGAGGCTCCTCCGGTGGAAGGGGTGTATCCTCTGCCCGGTCCCGGGCGGCTGCAGGTGGGAGGTCAGGTTTGGTCAGAGGTCCCAGCAAGGGCTGCCTGAGCCCCATGTCTGTTCCTTGTGCTTCTCTCGCTAGAAAAGGGTAAATAGTGTTAGGTAAACCACGACCAGGGATTACAAAACTCTGGCAAGTCAGGTTATTCTTTGAAGCTGTTCATCTGGCCTTGAATTTCAAGCTCTGAATCAGGATCTCTGCACGCCTAACAGGGCAGGACATCTATTTATTCCTGTTCTGGCAGGGAATTGAACTTGAAGGGCCAGCTCTTCCGCTGGCATCGCTTTGCGCTGCTGAAATAAGCGGGGCCCGGTGTTCCTCCCTTGTCCCCCATCCCTAAAAAGGTGTGACATGGTACCCTGACCCCATCAGCAGCGGAGAGACTCCTGTTTTCACCTGAGGTGTGTCAGCACAGGGACTGTGCTGTGTCTGTGCTGCAGATCCTGCTGCTCTACGCACAGCATTTGCTGCTGGAAGGAGGAAGAGATGGGGAATGCGCTGATGTTATTGGAGATCAGCGAGCGGTGGGAGTTGTGCCGTCAGCTCAGGGCAACACAGGCTTCGCTCTGTCCTGGGCTTGGACATGTCCCCGGGGAATTTAGCCACCCGTCCAGCCGGCTGGGAGGCAGCTCCTGCCCCGGGGGAAAGGGTGAGCATGGAACACCGGCTCCTTTTGGCAGGGCCAAACGCTGCAGCCGGTCACCTACCTCCTCTGTCCGCACAGGAACCAGTGCAACCGCTCGGCAGAGGGGATGTACAGCCCTGGTTGGGGCCGGAGACAGTGCAACCGCCCCGGGTGGCCGGGGAAAGCCGGGGTGAGGGAGCCCTCGGGGCCAGGCTGAAGCGCTCCGGGGTGGCTGTGCCACAGCCCCTGCGGCATCGGGCTCGGCAGATCAGCACCTTCCGGCGCTGGCTGCCCCGCTCAGAGCTGCAGGCGCGAATCTTCCATCCCTCCCGCTGGGCAGATGAAGGCAGGGGAAGCCCGTGACACGGAGCGGGACGATGGGATTTCTGTGGCTTCTGTTTTTTTTTTCTTGCTCTCTCATAATTCCCCTTTCAGCCTGGAGCTCAGCGCCGAGTTCCCGTTAAACACAACCCACCACCCCCACCGCTGCCCTGCACTGGAATGCTCCCAGCACGCAGCAGTCACAGCCTGACCACCCCCCCACACCTCCCAAATCCCCAGAAGAAGTGGGGGGTGTCACCCCAAGCTCGGTCTGGTGAGTGTTGGCAGAGTCAGAGCCCAGCGAGGAGCATGTGGGCTGGGGGCTACCCGCACTTGTGAGTCAGGAGTCCTGGTGGGCACACCAAGAATAGCCCTGTGACCCTGCCAAGATGTTGTCACCCCCTCCAAAAAAAAAAAAAACAAAAAAAGAAAAAGGATGGGGTGGTGTGGGAATCTCCCGCTGCCCTTGTTGGCGGCATTAAGCACGTGTTGGCGGCATTAAGCACGTGCTTGCAGCCAGGGAGGGGAGTGGGACAGATGGGCTTTATTTCAGCTCATCACTCGGATCCCACTGTTTCGTCTCGTCCCATCCTGTCCCCCCCCCAGTGATGAATGCTGTTCCTGTTCGACACCCGGCACGCCTGGTCCCACCCTGCACCGGCAGCGCTGCTCCGCATCCCCATCCTCCCTCCTGGCAGGGCGATGGCACGGCCACCGAGATGACAGAAGACCCCTCTGACGCTGCCAAAGCACAAGCCAAGACCGGGAGGGCTTTTGTCTGCCAAAACACACAAAACCGCCCTGTCTTAAGCGGGAGAAATGACATCATTAATGACACAAACGAGCCCCTTGTGCTCGGCGTGGCCACTCTGGTGATGCTCCGGAGCTGCTCAGGGCGATCCGTTTCCATTTGGATCAATATTTCTATTTATTGATGTAAAATTCCCCTTTTTCGGTGCGCCAAGCACATAAATACTTGCGTTTTGAGGTTTAAAATCCTGGAGGGGAACGCAGCTCGCTGCTCCCTGTCCCGCTGCGGGGTGGACGTGACCAGGGCAAATCTCTACGGGAGATGCCCCAGCCCCATCCATCTTTTCCCCATCAGCGAGGGATAATTTCAGAGGGTCTCCTTGCAGCCCTTAATTAGGGTGGTTTCCTGTGTTCATCCAAAGAGGCTGTTTCTCAACCAAAAGGAACATCCATCACCTTCACCTGCAGCTGCTCGAGTCACAAAGTCCCTGATTTTTCCCCAAACTTGGACTGGGAAAGCACTGGTCCCCAGGAGATTGGGTGCCCCATCCCCACACAGGGGACACAGACGTGGAGGGGATGATGCATCCTTGCAGTGATTTATGCCACCCCACAGGAGCTCAGGGGCGATGGGAGCCACCTCCACTTCACGTCCCACCAGGGAGACAGCAGCTCCTGCTTGGGTCTGCCCAAATTAAAAGCTTTTTTGGGGATAGAGGGGTGAATGTCACCTTGGGGCAGCCTGGGCAGGGCTCTGTCCTCTCCTGTGGGTCCTGGGATGGGGTGTCCTGAGTGCTCTCCTGCTCGCATCTGTATGTGTGCCCTGTGGGAAGTATGTGATGCCCTATGGGGGGCACCTGCCACCCCATGGAGAGCACATGTCAACCTATGGAGAGGACATCAACCTATGGAGAGCACCTATCACCCCATGGAGAACACCCATGGCCCTTGGGAGCACCCATAGCCCATGGAGGACACCACTGCTCCACGGAGAGCATGTGTGGCCCCATGGGGACACTTATCGCCCCATGGAGAGCACCCATCACCCCGTGGAAAGCACCTGTCACCCCATAGAGAACACCCGTGGCCCTTGGAGAGCACCCATAGCCCATGGAGGGCACCACTGCTCTACAGAAAGCATGTGTGGCCCCATGGGGAGGCCCCATCACCCCACAGAGAGCACCCTTGCCGCATGAAGACCACCCATCACCCCATGGAAAGCACCTATCACCCCATGAAGAGCACCCATTGCCCCACGGAGAGCAGAGGTGGCCCCATGGAGAGCCCCACAGCCCAGCCATCATAAAAAGCCATCAGGGTCCAAGATGCAAAACCCTCCCACCAGTGCGTGAGCTCCCCAGGTTTTATCTTGCAGCTGGTGAACTTCGGGGAGGGTTTAAGGAAACAAAGTCTCCTCCAGCTGTTTCACTGTCAGCCACTCGAGGGCACTGAAAGAAGATATTAAAAAAACATAATAATAATAATAACTGCATCCAAAGTCTCTTTACATAAACATGAGGCATCCGCAACATTTCCAGCATCGCAGCCGGACCCGTCCCAGCGCCAGCACCCTCCCCACAACATCCTCTGTGCTAAATCCCACCTGGATGGATGGATGGATGGATCTAGGGAACAAGGAGAAGGACGCCCGGGTGGCTCCTGCCCCCTCCACAGCTTGGGGGGGGGGAGCTGCCAGTGCTGCCCCAGGGCTGAAGGACAGGAGCTGTGGGCAGGGACGGGGCAGCTGGCACGGCAAAACGTAACACTTTTTGCCACACTCAGCCCCGGCAACCGCGGAGCTGCGGCTTTTTTTAATTTAATAACCTTAAAAAATATATAGCCTATGTGAGATCCCCCTGGGAAAAAAAAAAATAAAAAAACCCAATCAAAAACCAAAACAAACAGCTCCCTCTCAGTCCTCCGAATCGGTGTCGTGGCGTTGCCTGACCCCGCGGGATGGAGGGGACCGGCTCCTGCTCCTCTTCCTCCCCTTACGGCGTGGGGACGGGTGCCGACCGCGGCCGTCCCTGCTCCGGCTCCGCCGACGGGCAGGATGGCGCAAAGGGCTCCTGCCCGAATCCCGGCTGCTGGCAGAGGAATCCCTGTCGTGCCGCCGCCGGCTGCCGTGCCGCGATGTCTCGGGGCGCTGCTGGGTTTTCCTTCGGTGGTGCCTACCGGGATGGAGGGGAACGTGAGATCAGGGATGTTGGGGACACCAACAAGCCAATTTGGGGGATGAAAAAGGGATTTTGGAAAGGCAGGAGATGCCGACAGGGCATCCTGATGCCAGCTGCAACCTTGTGGTTCTCTTAAACCTTTCATCCCATTTCCTGGTGATGATGCTCAGCCTTCATCCCAACCCAACTACCTCTCATCCTGGTCCGGAGAAGAATCGGAGGACGATGAGGCAGCATCCCTCTTATGATGCTTGTCCTTCTTCTTCTCCTTCTTGTGTTTCTTCTTTTTCTTTTTCTTCTTCTCCTTTTTGGATTTCTTGCCGCCCTCTGGTCTGCGGGGAAGAGATCAAGCAGTGAGGGTCCCTGCCCTGTGCATCCCGCTGGCTCCTCCAAAAACTCATTCCCGTCCCTCCCTCCACGTGCAGCCCACCACATCCCTCCTTGGCCAAGGAGAGGCCCCCAGCAAATAAAAACAAAACAAAACAACCATAAATCACAAGATTTTGGGGGCAAAGCAGATGTTTTAGGGATGATTCAGGCAGATGCAGAACAAACCCGATGCCAAACGGAGCCATAGAAGCGTTTTGCAAAATACTGTGTGCATCCCCCCAAAAAGGCCATTTCTGGTGGTTTCCCACCAAAGGGGTGGTCCCCGTCCTCACCGTTTCTCCTCCACCTTCTCCTCCTTCTCCTGCTTCTTCTTGGAGCCGGACATCTCCGGGCTGCTGGCGACTTTCTGGTGCTAGAGTTGGAAGCGCGGGGAAAATACGGAGTGACTTTGTGAGCTCATAGCTTTGAATTAGAAGAAGAAGGGACTTTTTCCCTTTAAAAAGTCAATTTGGAAACAAAGTTCTATAAAATTCAAATTATTATTTGGAAAAACTTAAAACTACTCGCCAGAGCTGGTTCCAAATTAAAACCCCACAAAGGGATGCTGTGCACGCAGGACGCGGGGAGCTCTTGCAGGTCTCTGCGCTCAGCTTTGCTTTGAAATAAAAGGGATTTTTGCCTTTTTCCGTCTTTTTTTTTTTTTTTTTTTTTTAAACCTCACGGGGAAAACGCAGCCGGCT